GAGACCCTGCACCCAGCTCTTCCTCAGAGGTTGAGGGGAGGCCTCTGCCTAGCGGAGACGCTTTCTCAGGGAGCCTTGGATGTTTTCTCGGTGTGGGACTCTGGCCAGCTGCTCAGCTTCTTCTAGCCTTGATTTCTTTCCCATCAACACGTGTGTGTTGGCTTCTGACCCCTGCAGTCCACATAAGCTACAGTCTATGACCCTCAGTGGGCCCAGGCCAGCCCGCCAGGTCGCTGCGCCACAAAGCGAGAGACTGCTTTTCTTCTGAACCACATGGCGCCGAACGGTACCGGAAGTTCTCCCCCTCAACCCTCACCCCCTTCCTGCCATCCTGTCACCCCAACCCGCACTCGGGGCTGGGAGGGAGGAAGTGCTCTCTGCCTCAGCGTCAGGCTGGGCCTGCTCCTCAGAGCAGCTGCGGCCAGAGGGAACAGCCTAGGCTGTAGGTGGCAGTGCCAGGCAGTTCCCTGCCATGGCGGGGTAGGCCTTCTGCCAAGGTGCCCTCCATACTTTGTCAGGGCAGGTATCAGGCTCTGCCCACTGGGGCCCGCAACTGAGCAACAGGAGTGCCTGGCTCAAGGAGTGCTCGTGGGCCCAGCTCCGGTCAGGGCTCCCCGGTCAGGAGGCCACCTGGCCATAGGCCCTACCCTCTGAGGACATGGCAGATGTGAGACAGAGACCCAAACAAGGCCATGTAGCTTATGATCACGTTCTAGAAGGAGACGCAGGCTGTGGAATCCCAGAAGGAGGGCTTCCTCCAGGAGGGGGACACAACCTGCTGGCCCTCACAGTGAGGCTGGCATCTTAAGAGAGTTCTCCTTTGCTGTGTCCTCTCAGGCCTTTAAATGGCCAGCGCGGTGGTGGCGATTCAGCATTTTGTTGACATCCTCATTTTACAAATGGGGAAACTGGACATTTAAAGTTTGTGACTTGGCCTGGCCTTCCAAAGGGAGAGCCATTTGGAACCCAGGCCTGGGCTCCCATCCGACCGTGAGAGCAAAGGCGGCCCCGAGGCCCTTTCCCAGAGGGACTGGGAGCCTTCGAGTCCTTCTGGCGGGGAAGATGCAGACACTCGGCTTTCTTGACAACCCAGAGTCGATCTGGGAGCCACATGCTCCTAGATGTCAGGGTTGTTGACCTGGGTGGGGGCAGGAATGCTGCTCTGGGCTCATTGCCACTCCAGGCTCCACCAGTATCAGGGAGCAGGTTTTGGAGACGGAGGGGACCTGGCGCAGGAGGCTGCCACCGCCTCCCGTGCCAGCCGGTACTTGCCACCCTGACGGGAGCTTCCCCCGTGACACATTTTTCTAACCTGTCCACTCCCTCAGCCACCAGCCCCGTGGGAATGGACAGGAAACCCTCACGTTGCCGCTTCGGGGGCCTTCCCTTCAAGGGCCCTGCTCAAGTCTGACCTCGTGTTTGGTTGGGGGGGGTTGTTTATTTTATTTAGAAAACATTTTTTTCTTTTTAAGGAAGAAAGTGGAGCGCTGTGGGCTGGGAAGAATGCCGCGGCCATCCCGTGCGGGCTTCTGAGGGAGGCGGGGTCTGCCTCCGAGGCCACTCGGAGCCCGGGCCTGCTTCCTGCTGTTCCCTGGGCTGAGCCAACAGCAGAGCCGCCGGGAAGGGAGCAGGCTCTGCCACCAGCGCACTCCCCAGAGAAGAGACGGTTCCCTGCTCTCTCTTTGGAGGCAGGCCCTCCCCGAGAGCACGTTTCCTGGTGGGGACCTTTGCGTGTCCAGTTCCAGGCTGCTCTGGAGGGCCGCCGAGTCACGTGGCGGGAAGCGCTCCCCAGCTGCCGGCTGGCATTCCCACTGCGTCGCCTTTGCTGAGCTGGCGCCAGTCTTGCTGGTTCCCAGGAAGCAAGTTTGGGGCTCAGGAGGGCTTCCCAGGGACTATTGCAAGGGCCGTGCCCAGCTGCCTGGTGGGGTCATCTGTGACAGGCTGGGCTCACTTTGTCATCTGCATCTACCTGTCTGGACATTCCATCTGGCCACACCTGACCACCATCTGATCATCCACCCCCATGGAGGATTGACATTTTGTGATATTTTTCCCTTCTTCATTGCTTTTTCTCATCCTCTTCCATAGACCAAAATGTCCTGGAACACAAGAATTGGGTGCAGATGTGGAGAGCAAAGAGCTGAGCGGAGGAGCGGTGAGGGTCCAGCCTTCCTGGTCCCCGTCACAGGAGGAATCCAGGCACCTCGCCCTTGCGGGGTTCCCGGGCTCTAGACCCCTAACTCCCGGCTGCCTGGTCTCTCGACCCTGCCAAGCCTTCGCTGCCTTGGCCCGGGCCCTTCCTGCTGTGCACCACCCCAGCACACCCCCGGCCTGACCTACTGTCTGAACAGGAGGTCCCAAGCTGTCCCTTGCAGACCTGGGAGCCCTAAGAGCTCAGCGCAGACTGTGCCCCATGGGCTCCTGGGGCTCAGGTCTCCAGTTTGCAGGCCCTGGGGCAGGGGCTGTGTCTTTCTCAGTTTCACAGATTTTTCAAGCTCCTGCTATGTGTGAAACACACATGGGACTTTGGATCTGGGTTCACCTCCTGAGTCCCATGGGGCCAGGGAGGTGTGTCCTTGATGGTGGCTGCTGGATGTGACCTGGTGTGTGGCCCCGGGAGGGGAGCGTGTGCCAGCATGGTGAGAGCCACATTCTGGTCCTGGAACCCCCGGCGGTTGTGGAGGGCGTCCTCACTTTCCCAGAGGGAACCGACCCTGAAGTGGCAGCTCAGGGCCACCCGGCCACCAGCCCTCAGCTTGGGGCTTTTCTCTTGTCGGCTAGAGTCACAGGATGGGGACACAGGATGGCTATCCTCGTCATCAGTGCCCTTCTTCCTGTTGGAGACAGTTTTTGGAGGAGGTCATGGTACCTCTAGCCTCTGAGGGTTGGGAGGCCGGAGAGCGGGTCACAACTTCAGGATTGTGCTGACAACAGCTCTGCGTGCTCCCGGGTTATCTTGTGTGGCCTTTTCTGTGTGGGTTGAACATGGGCAAGGGCCTGGGAGGGCTGGGGCCTGGGCTTCCGCCCAGACTTTCTCAGTAGGAAAGTGCTCAGTGGAAAAGGGCAGGAGTCCCCTGCCTTCGATCCCAGGCCCGGAGGCTGGGCAGGGTCTACTGGCTGCACTCGTCCTGCCTGGAGCCCCCTCTCTGATGGGGTCCCAAACCATGAGACCCTCACAGGCTTAGCCTGCCATCCAGCTGGCCTTGTCGACTCTTCTCCTGTCTGTCCACAGCCCAAGCTCCTACCCCACCTGTCTCTTTCCCTCCTTCCCAGCTCAGTGTCCTCATCTATCTGGGCTTCTTCCTGGGGGTGCCTCCAGTGGAGTCTGTCTGCTCACTTGCTGCCCTGGACCGAGCTTCCCAGGTGTCCTCTGCCCAGCCCCCTCCCTGCCCCATGGCCTCTTGCTCATCCCTGGCCAGGCCTTCCCCTGCCTGTCCCCACGTTCACCCACCTGCTCTGGGCTTCACCACCTGTTGACATCCTGTTTGCACTTGAGGAACCCAGCGAAGTTCCGCCTTCTCCACACAACCTCTCCTAACAGCCCAGAACACTTCCCTCCCTGAGTCTCCTCACGCTGACCAGGTCCCACTCAGGCTTTGTCACATGCTGTCTACTGTCATAGAACCACAGACACAGGACTTGTGCCCTGGGAGGACCTGCCTGGAGGGCAAGGATGGGTAGGGGTGCATGGCACCTTCCAGTGGGTGGTGTGCAGTGGTCCCCCGAGACCGGGCCCCGTGCTGGGCTCTGGGGTAGGGGGTCAGGGATGCAGAGAGGCGGGGGCACAGAGCTGGCCTTTCTGATCTGAGTCCTTGCCACCCGCTGTCTCTTCACCAGCGGCCTGCTGGTGACCCCACGTACCCTAAGGGCCGTGTGAGCATTGCGTGGGCTCAGGTGTGACTGCCCAGCACGGCCCTCAGTATGGGCAGCTTGAGAACCTTCCTCAGAAGCCCGGGCTAGTGCGGGCCAGACATGACCACAGCTGGCCGTCATGACAGGCAGGCCAGCAGGGCTGGACTGGCCCAGCAGATGGGAGGAGGGGACAGCAAGTTTCGTCTGTGGCATGAAGTGCAGCCCAGTGTTACTTTCCAGACGGCGCTCAGGGTCGGGGGTAAGGTAAACAGGTGGGGAGTGTGGGGATGGGCTTCTGTGGTCACAATGGCCAGCCTCTCCCCTGCTACCCTCCCATGCAACCCAGGGGCAAGGGGCACATTTTCAATTCAGGTATTAGGGACATGGGAACTCAGGCTTGGCTGTTTTTTTTTCCTGTTTTAAAAAATTGGCATATAATTCATTTCACATAAAATTCATCATTTTAAAGTGTACAATTCAGTGGATTTTAGTACATTCACTATGTTGTACAAACCTCACCTATTCCAGAAGATGTCCATCACTCCTAAAAGAAACCCCACACTCATTAGCAGCCACTCCCCTGTCCTCCCCCAGTCCCTGGCACCCACTAATCTGCTTTCTGTCTCTGTGGATTTGCCTGTTCTGGACAGGGCCATAGATGGAATCATATGATATGCAGCTTTCTGTGACTGTCTCTTTTCACTTAGCAGAATGCTTTCAAGATTCATCTGTCTCGTAATGCACATGTGTTTCAGTGCGTCGTTCCATTTCATGGCCGAGCAGTATTCCACTGTAACGATAGGCCACGTTTTGGTTATCCATCATCTGCTGATGGGTGAAGCCTGGCTTTTGAGGTTTGGCCAAGTTCCCAAAGTTAGCACGAGGCAGCGCTGGGACCAAACTTCTGAGCAGCCACCTGCTGGCCACCTTAGCTTTTGGGGACAGAGCCTTGGCACAGGCTTCCTCAGGTCTCTCTGGTGTGACATGTGGTAAGGTCTGCCTGGGTGGCTGCCTTCCTGGAGGGAGCAGTGACACCCAGCAGCGGTGCTCTCCACTCCAGATTCTGGGAGAGGAAGCAGCGGCCTTCCAGGGAAGCAGGGCCAAGGAAGGGCCAGCAGGCCTGAGAGGAGCCACAAGGGCTCCAAGTCACTGCGGTCCCTGTTTTTCAGCATCCGCAGTGTCATGCAGAAGTACCTGGAGGACCGGGGCGAGGTGACCTTTGAGAAGATCTTCTCCCAGAAGCTGGGTGAGTACAGTGGGGCCTCTGCCAGCCCCAAGGGCTTTCTGCCGCTTGTCTAGCTGCCCAAGCCTGGGGCGTGGGGGGCAGGAGGATCCCGAGGCCGCCTTCCAGCCCCCACCTCAGCTGGCTGGGCTGTGTTCTCCTCTCCCAGGAGGTTTGGCCTCCCAGCCCCGGGGGTAGGGCAGCCAGTGAGCCCCCTGGGTTGGCAGCAGGGCTGCTCAGGGCTGCGACCCATGGTGCCTCCCAGCCCCTGGCTGTTGGCCCAGGGAGCCCCGTGAAGGGGGTGGGGGCCCAGCAGTCTTCCAGAGCTGCCTGCCGGGGAAGTTCCTCCTTTGGGGTTTTTGTTTTTGAGAGTTGCAGCTTCCCCTTGGCGCAGGCACATCTGCTCTGGGCCGTTGGTAGAACTGACAGGAAGGGGCGGGGCCCTTCCTGTGGCGCCTGCTGCTCTGTGGTCGGCCTGGCCCCGCCCCCGTGGGTCGTCTTTGTGAGCAACCTGCTTTGGCAGGCCCCTTCATCCTCCTCCTCCAGTGCCAGTTGTCTGAGACACTTCGTGGGTCCACCCCACAGACCTGGCCCATTGGGCAGGGTTGGAGCGGGTCTCAGGGAAGCAGGTTTCAGCCACACACAGCTCTGATTTGGCCTTCTGGCGAACAGGATCTCAGCTCTGAAATGGGAGTGGCCTGGCCTGGCTTGGCCTGGCAGGATCGGGCGTTAGAGGTCAGGCTTGGGGAATCAGGAAGCACAGTTTGGGTCCCCTGTCTGTGCTGTGTGACCTTGGGCACATCGCTTCACCTCTCTGAGCCTGCTGGTGTCCTCACCTGGGAACTAGGACTCAGGAGCCCTGCTGCCCAGGACTCTTGGAGGACAGTGGTCAGTGAAAGCCCCTTGCCCACTGGGAAGCCCTAGTTATTAGTTACCCAAAGGCATGATATTGAAAGGCCAGGCCACCCTTAGCAGAAGTGATGGCTGCGAGCCCTGGCAGAAGTGCCCAGAGGGGGCCCCCAAAGAGGCGTGGGAAGCCACCGGTGCAAGCCTGGTCACCCGTGTCGGGCTGGAAGGAGCAAAGACCGCCCTTACTTCTGCTTTGCCCTCCAGGGCTGCTCTGGGGCCAGGCCTCAGCCCCACTCCCTGGGAGGGGGTCTCCTGTGAGCCCTTTCTGCAGCCCCTCTTCCATTCCCCAACGGCCTTATGTCCTTAAGACCACCTGCACCAGGGCCCCACCCCCTGCCTGTCTTTCCCAGGACCTTCCATCTGGTAGAGGAGTCTTGAGTCCTACTCATCCCTGCCACATGCTACCTGCCTGACAGGCCTCCCTGAGCCTCAGTTTCCCCAACTGGACCCACCCTCCCTGTCTGTTTCTCAGGGCTGCTGTGAGAATCAGCCAGATGATGGAGGAGGCCCAAGGCCAGGGAGAGGGGTGTGGTCCCGCTCGGAGGCTGCCTTCCATCCTGTGCTGCAGCTCAGGCTGGCCCAGGTGGATCTCACTGCACCTGCACAGCCCTCCCGGTGGGGGTGTTGCCCTCTCGGAGGAGGCGCAGGCCCCAGACTGCAGTGACAGGCCGGGGGGCCCGGGCGCCAGAGCCAGCTCCTTGCCTCTGCCTCACCAGGGTGCCTGTCACATCCCAGCTGCCATCCGAGGAAGCAGACTCTGGGAGGGGTAGAAACGCGGGCACCCCTATCTTGAATCCCAGAATCTGTAGTGGGTGGCAGCCTTTGAGGCTGCCTTGCCCAGCACCCCGCTGGGGGCAGAGACCACCTTGGCTGCCTCCTTGGCCAGTTCTGCCCAGGGAGCCCCAAGCCCACACCTCCCACCATGATGGGAAGGTGTCTGAGAGGGATGTGGCTCAGTGCGACCCAACACGCTTGCTTTCAGGGTACCTGCTCTTCCGAGACTTCTGCCTGAAACACCTGGAGGAGGCCAAGCCGTTGGTCGAGTTCTATGAGGAGGTGAGGCCGGGCGGGCTGGCAGGGGTGCAGCGGGGCCTGGCCCCGCTCTGGCTGGAGAAAGGGGAAGAGGTTGGGGCTACTTTTGTTGAATCCACAAGACGCCTGGTGTTGGTGTCAGTGTCACCTGTGGGGACCTTGTCCTCTAGATTAAGAAATACGAGAAGCTAGAGACAGAGGAGGAGCGCCTGGCCCGCAGCCGGGAGATCTTCGACACCTACATCATGAAGGAGCTGCTGGCCCGCTCGCATGTGAGTGCCCCGGCTAGCTTGTCCTCAGGCCCAGACCTGCGCGCCGCCCCAGAGCGACCTGGGTGCTGGGAAGGGGTGAAAGGACCCTGCGGAGAATTCATGGCCACCTCTGTCTTCCCAGCCCTTCTCCAAAAGTGCCACTGAGCATGTCCAGGGCCACCTGGTGAAGAAGCAGGTGCCTCCAGATCTCTTCCAGGTATGTGCTGGGCTTGTTCCCTGCTGCCTCTCAGCCCAGTCGGGGCCACCCTGGGGCAGCCCAGGTCAAGGAGCCTAGTCGGCTCCCCCTCTGGCTCTGTCACCAACCTCCAGCTTCCTCCCTTAGCCCTACATCGAAGAGATTTGTCAGAACCTGCGAGGGGATGTGTTCCAGAAATTCATCGAGAGGTGAGAGCGGGGCGTGTGCCGTAGGGGAAGAGGCTGCCCTGAGGAGGGATATGGATGGCGTGGAGGAGAGAGGCCTGCCTGCTTTAAGCCCCGGCAGGTGGGCAGCTGGCCCATCTGCGGCCCAGTGCAGGGACCACTGGGAGGTCGTCGCCTCCTCCACACTCCTACCCCGCCCTTCTCAGTACCGGGCATCTCCAGGCTGTCCTAGACGATTCTCCAGGGACTAAGGGGCCACTGACGCATCTTCCCCTCCCAGGGACTGCCTAGCACCTTGCTGGGCCCATCTGGGCCAAGAAGCATCGGGATGGTGTTTGGGGCGGGCAAGAGAGGGCACACTGCCCTGATGCCTGTGGCCTGGTGGGTGGGGGTTGTGGGCAGATGTCAGCTTGATGTAAGGAACAGCTTGGTTAGGGTCCCGGCTGCCCAGCCATGGAGTGGGGCCTTCACAGGGAGTGAGTGCTGTGTCACTGGAGGTGTGCAAGCAGGGACGAGGTGAGCATTGTCGAGGATGTGGTAGCAGGAAGTCTGGGTCAGACTGGAAGACTCCTCTCTAAGCTTGTCTGATCCCAGCAGGAGCCCAAAGACAGGTCGCCAGGCCGCTCAGGCCGGCGTTGTTCCTGGCAGTCCCAGAAGAGGACCCTGAGGCTCGGGACCCGGGAATGGCAGTGGGGTGGGGCAGGCTCGTGCTCAGCATCATTCCGCCTGCCCTCTTTCTGAGGCTTGTCTGAGCCCCGGCTTCTTCTCTTACAGCGATAAATTCACACGGTTTTGCCAGTGGAAGAATGTGGAGCTCAACATCCACGTGAGTGGGCTGGGCGGGTGTGGAGAGCCCTGCTCCCCGCTCTCCTCCCTGGGAGCCGGGCCCGGGGAGGTCAGGGGCGTCTGCCCTTCAGCCCCTGGGCCGTGGCTGTGTAGTCAGTGGCAGGATCCCAGTGGGGGTGGCTCAGGGCAGGTAATAAGCATGTGGCGAGGGTGGCCCCGGGTGTGGGGGCCCTGACATGGGACCAGCCCCCGCTGCCTGGGTGCCTCTGTCCCAGGGCGGGGCCCAGGCAGCCTGCAGTGACGCCGGTTGTTGCCTCCCCCGCAGCTGACCATGAATGACTTCAGCGTGCACCGCATCATCGGGCGCGGGGGCTTCGGCGAGGTCTATGGATGCCGGAAGGCCGACACGGGCAAGATGTGAGCGCCTGCTCAGCTGGCGGCGGCGAGGGGGGGGTGCCTGAGGGAGAGGAGGGCCCTGGGAGCCAGGTGGCAGGGTCCCGAGTGGGCAGTCTCTGCAAAGGGCCATACGCTGTTCCCTCCAGGCTGCTGTCTCCCTCCCTCCTGTCTGCGCTGTTACCCGCCCCACAGGCCCCCGGGGCCCCCGACCCACCGGCACTTTCTCCTGCCTTCTCTCTGTCTCTGATTCTCTGATGTGTGTCATAGCTTGTTGTGGTGTCTAGTCTTCCCCGCAGAAGCCTGAGGACTGTCCCCTCGCCCGAGAGGCAGCCCTGGGCTCTGCATGAAGGTGCGTGTGGACTGACTGACTGACCGACAGCCCCTCCCCCTCCCAGGTACGCCATGAAGTGTCTGGACAAGAAGCGCATCAAGATGAAGCAGGGGGAGACCCTGGCCCTGAATGAGCGCATCATGCTCTCCCTCGTCAGCACCGGCGTGAGTGGCGGGCCCGGGCTGGCCACCAGAGCAGCGTCAGGTTCCAGAACCTTGAGCAACCTCTGCTGACCTTCCCTCTCGTCCTCTCCTAGGACTGCCCGTTCATCGTCTGCATGTCGTACGCGTTCCACACGCCAGACAAGCTCAGCTTCATCCTCGATCTCATGAACGGTGAGTGTGTGGCCTGGCCCCAAGGGCACTGCAGGGCTGGGGGCTGGGGGCTGGGCAGGGAGCTGAGCGCCACCTGCGGGGCTGCCTCCCTCAGGCGGGGACCTGCACTACCACCTGTCCCAGCACGGGGTCTTCTCCGAGGCCGACATGCGCTTCTACGCGGCCGAGATCATCCTGGGCCTGGAGCACATGCACAACCGCTTCGTTGTCTACCGGGACCTGAAGGTGAGGCGCCGCCGAGGTCCCCTCCCTCCTCAGCACGCCTGGCAGCCAGGCCCACGGGAGTGGTGTCCTGGGACAGGGCCGGCCCGGCTCCTCCCCTCTTCACTCTTCCTCCCACCCAGCCATTTTCTGGGTTTGGGTTGTGATTGGAGGAAGGAGAAGACCCACCCGGGGCCTTGTCCCTGGACACTCATAATCTAGAGCGAGGACAGTGACCCGGCTGGCATCTTGCCTGGCCGGGCACTGTCCTGAGCCGCCCCCGGGGCAGCTCACTGGGCTTCCTCCACAGCCGGCCAATATCCTTCTGGACGAGCACGGCCACGTGCGCATTTCAGACCTGGGCCTGGCCTGCGACTTCTCCAAGAAGAAGCCCCACGCCAGCGTGTGAGTGCCTTAGCCCCCCACTCTTCCTTCCCACACCCTCCGCCAAGTCCGCTCATGGCCTCCTCGCCTCCACAGGGGCACCCACGGGTACATGGCCCCCGAGGTTCTGCAGAAGGGCGTGGCCTACGACAGCAGCGCCGACTGGTTCTCCCTGGGCTGCATGCTCTTCAAGTTGCTGAGGGGGTGAGCGGGCCATCCCAGGCGGGTGGGTGGGACAGGACAGAGAGAAGCTCTTCCCCAGGCCAAGTAGGAGGCTGGGGGCCGGGAACCCACAGCTGCTTGGGTGTTAGGGGTGGCATCATCCCTGGCTTTGGATGAGGATCATTCATGTTGCCTGTCTCAGTTTCCCCATTCCTGTCCTCTGACCTTGGACTTTGGCCTCTCTTGCCCAGGCACAGCCCCTTCCGGCAGCACAAGACCAAAGACAAGCATGAGATTGACCGCATGACGTTGACAATGGTGAGTGTAGGCTCCCAGCCCCTGGAGGCTGGGTGGAGCCCAGGGGGACCGCAGTGGGGCTTGGGTCTCCTGCGGGTATCAGGGTCACGGTCTCTTGGTTCTCACCAACTAGCGATGATCTCGGGCTGCTTATCCACACTCTGGCCTCCTGCCCTGTAGGCTCCCCACTCCCTGTGTTGTCAGAGCAAGCATGCCTGCTGGGGGTGAGTTAGGAAGCTGTGCGCATTTCAGACCTGGGCCTGGCCTGCGACTGTCTCTCCTTGTGCTGCGGGCTGGACCCCCGGGGGCCCCAGAGCTGTGATGGGGCCACAGGCCCTCCCTTGGTCCCTGTCAACATCCCACTCCTCCCTGCAGGCCGTGGAGCTGCCTGACTCCTTCTCCCCCGAGCTCCGCTCCTTGCTCGAGGGGCTGCTGCAGAGGGATGTCAACCGGAGACTGGGCTGCCTGGGCCGAGGGTGAGTGCCCGGGACCAGGCCGCTGTCCCCGGCCTGCCCTCCTGCCGGGCCCTGGGCGCTGGGGCTTGCTGCTTTGTTCAGGCCTCTGCAGTGGGCCGCTGGGCCAGCCTGCCCGGGCCTCCGCCTGTGCCTCCCTGAGGACAGGGCTGTGTCCCGTCACTGGAGTGCCGTCCATGGTCCCAGCCTCCTTTGAGGAACTCACAGGTTCTCAGGGTGCGGGGCTGCCCGGGGGTGCAGCTGCTGGAGCGGCCTGGGGACTGGCTTCCGGAGGGGCCCTTGTAACAAAGACAGTGATGATGATGATGACAGCAGCTTTTTATGTTTATTAAACATTTACCAAGTGCCAGGTGTAATGTTGCAAGAAATACAAATATCTAGACTCACGACAGCCGTGCGATGTGGGAACTGCTCCTCTTTCCATCTTAGAAATGAGGAAACAGGTTGAGGTTTAAGGAACTTGACCAAGGTCTCGCAGCTAGAGTGGCAGAACCAGGAGTTAGCCTGGGCCACCTGCCCCAGGGCCCAGACTTAGTCCGCAGCCTGGACGACCCACATCTCCCCACAGGGCCCAGGAAGTGAAGGAGAGCCCCTTCTTCCGCTCCCTGGACTGGCAGATGGTCTTCTTGCAGAAGGTAACGGCCTGGGGCCGGGGCCGGGCGGGGCACCTGCAGCCCCTGCCCTGTGCTGATGCCCAGCTCCCGTTGTGCTGCAGTACCCGCCCCCGCTGATCCCGCCACGAGGGGAGGTGAATGCGGCCGACGCCTTCGACATTGGCTCTTTTGATGAGGAGGACACAAAAGGCATCAAGGTACCAGGCCTTGCCTGGTCTCTCCCACCTGAGCCCGGCCCGCGTGGCATCCTCCTCCTCTGCCCTTGAGACCCCGCGCCCGCCCTGTCAGCTGCTGGGCCTCGGGCTCCTCCTCCCTAGACATCCCTGGGGGTGGCGGCTGGACCAGACCACTCTGCTCCGGGGGGCCTGGGGCTGGGCAGGCCTGTGGCTGATGGATGTCCCTCCCTGTCCACACGTGAAGTTACTGGACAGCGACCAGGAGCTCTACCGCAACTTCCCCCTCACCATCTCGGAGCGGTGGCAGCAGGAGGTGGCAGAGACTGTCTTCGACACCATCAACGCTGAGACGGACCGGCTGGAGACCCGCAAGAAAACCAAAAACAAGCAGCTGGGCCACGAAGAAGGTGAGGGTCCGTGGCTGCCGTGGGCACCCGCTGCCCACCTTAGAGATGAGAAACAGGCTTGGGTTTCAGGAACCTGGCCCAGGTCGCAGCCAGAAAGCAACCGGACCAGGATTCAAACCCGGGCGAGGCTGGGCCCAGCTGAGGCCACCTCTCTCGCTCTCTCCGGTCAGACTACGCCCTGGGCAAGGACTGCATCATGCACGGCTACATGTCCAAGATGGGCAACCCCTTCCTGACGCAGTGGCAGCGGCGGTACTTCTACCTGTTCCCCAACCGGCTCGAGTGGCGGGGCGAGGGCGAGGCCCCGGTAAGGAGCGTGGCTGGCGCCGGAGGCTCGTGGGGTCAGTGGCTGGCTGGGCTTGTCCTGCGCCCTCACCACCCCCTCCCCGCCCTGCAGCAGAGCCTGCTGACCATGGAGGAGATCCAGTCGGTGGAGGAGACACAGATCAAGGAGCGGAAGTGCCTCCTTCTCAAGATCCGCGGCGGGAAACAGTTCGTCCTGCAGTGCGACGTGAGTGGGGCCGGGGCAGGCGGCGGGGGCAGGGTGGGGACGGAGGGGCCTTCGGGGCGCCCAGCCCCGCCTGACGGAGCCTGGGGCGTGTGCAGAGCGACCCTGAGCTGGTGCAGTGGAAGAAGGAGCTGCGGGACGCCTACCGCGAGGCCCAGCAGCTGGTGCAGCGGGTGCCCAAGATGAAGAACAAGCCCCGCTCGCCCGTGGTGGAGCTGAGCAAGGTGCCGCTGATCCAGCGAGGCAGCGCCAACGGCCTCTGACCCGCCCGCCCATCCTCCTGCCCGCCCGCCCGCCTTTTATAAACCTCTAATTTATTTTGTCGAATTTTTATTATTTGTTTTCCCGCAAAGCGGAAAAGGTTTTATTTTGTAATTATTGTGATTTCCTGTGGCCCCAGCCTGGCCCAGCCCCCAGGGAGGGGCCTGCTTGCCTTGGCTCCTGCTGCCACCACCCCAGCCACTGTCCGGCCCCCCTCAGTCCTGACCCCCCAGGGGCCGCCCGCTCCCAGTGTCTTCCTGCGGGGGGCGAGCAGCCCCCAGCAGCCCTCCCGCCCCTTCCCCGGGGATGCCGCCACACCGAGTTGTGCACCTCAGGCTCTGTGGGCTGTGCTCTGTGCCCACGGCACAGCTGGGTGGCCCAGCACCCCCCACCCCAGGGGAGGCCGCAGCACAGGGATGCTACTTGAATGTTCCCACTGCGGCCCCTCCTGCAACAGGGACACAGCCCTGCACTGTCCTGCCCTCCAGCCAGGGGTGGGAGAGGGGCCCGTTGTCTCCCAGACCCAGGGCCTCCCACAGTGATCTGGGCCCCTGCACCCTTGCTCGAGAAGAGCCCCTGTGTCACTGACTGCCTCCATTCCCACCTTCCCTGGACACTGGGCTCGGCCAGGAGGGTGGCGTTGGCAGTGGGTGCTGCTGCCCTCACTGTAGCCCCCCCCTTCCTCCCGCCGAAGCGCCCGGGCTCAGGGACCACAGAAAGGCCACTGCGGGTTGTGCCACACTGGCCTGGCCTGGCCCCAAGGTCCCCCTTTCCCCTCATCTGCCCAGGACCATAGAAGGGCCAGCAGCTGGCCGGGCAGCACAGCGAGAGGGGGCCGGGTGGTGCCAGCCCTTCCCCAAGGCCGGTCAGAGTGCCCCCGGGGCTGTCCAGCCCCACAGCCCCACGTCCTGTCAGTGCTACCGCCCACAGGGCGCCACCTCGCCCGCCGCATGCCCCCTCGTGCCAGTCTCGCTGCCATGTGTGGTGTCGCACCCTCTCCCCCGGGGCTGGGTCGGCGCACCCTCCCCCCATCTACTCACTCCCCGGGGCATTTCTTTGCCGATTTTTGAATGTGATTTTAAAGAGTGGAAAATGATACTATGCGTTTTTATAAAAAATGGTGCCTGACTTGGCTGTGTCAGACTCTTTTGTGCCCGATGATAATTTTTAGCCTCCACTGGGCCGGGGCCTGAGGGGAGAGGGTCTTGGTGGCACCGGGTCTCTCCACAGCAGGCATCCAGGGCCCGCCGCCCAGGCCCAAGCACTCTCCAGGGTGGGGCGGGGCGCTCCCACTCCCCTTCTCCCACCCCGACGGCTGTCCTCTGACTGTCCGGGAGCAGAGGGGTCTTCTGCCCACTACCCAGGGAAGCAAGAGGAGGTGCCTGCATTTCAGTGCTCGGTGTCACGTTTGGACTGGCTGACTGAGGACACCCCTGTGGACAGTGAGACAAGCACCTCTGCCCTCAGGGCCACACTGCAGCCTCTGGGCCCTTGGCCTTCTCTGGCTTTGTCCTCCCTTCTGGCCTCGCTGTGCAGCCCCCAGCAGTCCCTGAGGCCTGAGGGATCCCGCAGCATCAGGCCTCATCTACCCAGAGGCTCTGGTCAACTTCCTTTTCCCCATGTCCCTGCTCTCCAGGCCCCCATGGGTGGTGTCCTTTGCTGCCCACCCTATGTGGGGCTCTGCTGGGCAAGGCTGAGGGGCTCACAGAGTCTCGGAGGAAATGGCCTTTGAGCTGGGCCTCCAGCACTGGGGTAGAGGAGGTGGGGAGGACATTTCTGATGCCGAACAGGGCCAGGCAGTCAGGAGTGGCTCAGGTTGGCAGGAGCACTGTGAGAAGGAGACAGGCCTGGGAGGTTGTGAATGCCAGGCTAACCTGGCCCAGAGCCCAGCGCGCACTTAGTGACTACAGAACGAAGATGGGAATGGACGTGGAGCCTGAACCTGGAAAGGCTCTGGGGAGTCCTTAAAGGCTCTGGACAGAGGCTGGGTGATGAGAGCTGGCTGTAAAAGTAAGTCACTGATTACCACGCGCAGGATGTGTGGAGGGCGGTGAAGGATAGGAGGCAGGGAGACAGGTTAGGGGCCACTGCTTCTGTCCAGGGAAGAGGTGTCATGATGGTGGTGAGAGAGGAGGAGATGCAAAGAAGCCAGATGAGAAGAACATGCCCAGCAGGAATGGGTGGGACCTGGAGGTGACAGAAAGGTGGCAGTCCCAGATGGCACATGACAGCCAGGAGCAGAGCTGGCCTGAGGGGAAGATGGTAAATGTGGCTGGATCTGGTTTCAGACATTTCGATGGGCTAGCATGGGGCACTGGGCACAGAGATGTCCCAGAAGGAGCTGAAATGCAGTCCTGGAGGTGGCATCAGAGTGACAGTGGGAACAGACAGGCTTTCATCCAGGGAGAAGCCTGACTTGGGGGTCAGGAAGGGAGAAAGAGCCCCTGGAAAGGGTTGAGAAGACAACCGGATTAGGAATCAAGGGCCAGTGGGAAGTTGTGTTCAAGACCACAAACCAAGAGAGGCTGGGCCTGAGAAAGTCCTGCTAGATTTGGGTGGAAGATGGCTTGGGGGAGGGGTGGCCCCGTTTAAGAAAGGTGGAGGAGCTAGAGGGGGTGGCAGCAGTGGCGGCCAGCAGGGCCTGATTTTAGAGTTCTGGACATTCAGAGGCCTTTGAGCTACTGTAGACCGAGGACATTACAACGACCTGGTGACACCACAGGGCCGGGCAGCGAAGTTATCCCAGATAGCCCAGGAGCCACCCCACCACAAGGAGAGGGCAGGGTGAAAATGGCAACCAGGGCCTCCCAGCCCAGACTCAGCTCAAACTTCTAGATCAAACTATCTAGTCATTTTACAGATAAGAAGACTGAGACCAGAGGATCAGTCTTGGCCAAGCCTGGCCACTGCCTCACCATCCAACAAGACCAGGACCAGACCGCAGGCTAAGGCTAGGGTAAGGACGCCATGGCTCGGCCGACTGAGGCCTGCACACTGGTTCCGGTGTGGGTGGAGGGGCCGGCCCTGATTTCGAAACTCCCCTTCCTCTCCTGACACTGGCAGCAAAGTGCAGCCTCTGCAAAAGGGCTCCATGCGGTGGGTGAAAGCAGCCGTTCGTGGTGGACAGTCCTCCACCAGGAGGGGTCAGAACTAGCAAGGCCTGGTCCCCCCACTCGCCAATACTCCCCTCCCTGACTCCAGAGCCCTGAGGGGCCGCCTCCCCGCATGGCTGGGCCCAGCCCGTGGTGTGGCGCCACCGGACACCGGCCCAGGTCCCTGGGGAAGGCGCGTCATGCCAAGCTGGCCAGCATTTAGGGGCATCTGTGACGTGATGGAAACGGGAGCCAGGACCTCCCGCCTCCCCCGCACTCACAGGCATAGTACTTGCGAGGCCTGGGGTAGGAAGAGCGGGACATGGGCGGGTGGTTGCCGGGGGGACGCAACTAATCCAGAGGAGCAGGACCGGCAGCTCGCTGCGCACACGCGCGCGCACAACCCGAGGGCCCAGGCCCCACCCCTCGCCCAGCCGCCCCGCCCCCGGACCTCCTCCTCCCCTTTCCGGACCCGCCAGGAGGGGTCTGCGCTGGGCCTGGGCGCCCCCTGCAGGCCGCGGGCGGAGGTTGGCCAGGCCCCGCCCTCCGGACCGCCCACCGCAGACCCTTGCCCTGCCGAGGCCCCGGCGGAGACCCGGGTCCCGGCTTCTCTCCTGGCGCGCGTGGTTGCCATGGCGGCTGGGCAGCGCCCCCCGCC